ATGAAGGGGGGTTCCAGGCCTGGGGGGTGGGGGAAGATAGCTGGGGGTTCCAGACAGGCTTGTGGGGAGGGGGAGCTGAAGGGGGTCTCCAGGCCTGTGGGGAGGGAGAGATGAAGGGGGGTTCCAGCCAGGCTTGTGGGGAGGGGAGATGAAGGGGGGTTCCAGCCAGGCCTGGGGGGAGGGGAGATGAAGGGGGGTTCCAGCCAGGCCTGGGGGGGAGGGGGAGATGAAGGGGGGTTCCAGCCAGGCCTGTGGGAGGGGAGATGCCTGTGGGGAGGGGGAAATGAAAGGGGGCTCAGGCCTGCCCCAGAGGAGGCCAGAGGGGATAACAGTGGAATGAACAGCACCAAACACAGACCTTTGCTGGCTGATTGCGGCGCTTGTGTTTCCAGGCCTGCCGTGGGAATGTGACGGATCCAGGTGTGTGGGTGGAGACAGACAGCGGCCGGCCCCCAGCAGACAGTTTCTCGCACTACCTCTCCATCCCTGACAGCACGGCCGTGATGTTCGCCTGCAGCCCAGGTGAGTGAGAGCAGAGACGGCCCCGGGACCGGAGGCCGTAAGGGGCTGTCACCCCAGGGGCGATTCTGCTCCTTCAGGTCTAACGCCCTTCTGGCCCGTCCACGGAGCAGAACTGCTGCCGAACAGGGAGCTGTCTAGTCTCCAGCAACAGCCACCAGTTTGACTCTGTAGCTCTGGTGCCGGAGTCAACAGCTGCCCTCTTTCACGCTATTTTGGGAAAGAAACGCTGAACTTCTTTTCTCGGTTAAACGTGGAGGTGGGGAGAATCCCACCGAAAAGGCACGTAGGGAAACAGGGTCGAGTCTCGGCCCAGGATCCTCATGCATACAGGCTCAGGGTGATCCCCACTAGACTTGCGCAGCCTGTGGCCCACAGAGTGCCCCCCCAATCATCCCGGGGATGTATCGACAGAGACACCGGCTCACTGTACAATGCTGGGCCATTCCGGCAGAGGGGGAATTGTTCAAAGAGGGGGGACCTGATGTGGGGTTTGATGGGAGAGTCATGATACTAGCTGCACAGCCATTTTACATGCTGCTTCCCCTGTCCCAGGGTCCAGCCGGGCCCCATGCTGGCTGAGAAGGGAACCAAGTTGCTCTTGGCTTGCATTTGGGGGGTGGGACAGAGGTGGCGAACGCAGAAAAAAGAGGAGAGTGACTGTTCCTTCCCTTCACACCCCTGGCTCCCACGGGGGCCCCTCAACCCAAGGCTTTCCTCAGCCAAATGGGTATAGTGTACCCCTCATCCCGATCAGTCGCTTGCCACTGCTCCCACGCTGGCCCTGCACCTCCCACCAGGCCTCTGGAGGGGAAGGAGGGAGACATTTTTTGATGCAAGTTAATTTAAACTGAAAACCTGCAGATTTCCATGACATGGTGCTGGAAAGACCTGAGCCGAGGCTCCAGGAGGGCTTCTCTTCTAGCACCAGGGTAACGCACCATGGCTGGCAAACAGGTGCAGCCGTTCCTGCTGTAGGCTCTGTGTTTGTACAGCACCTGGCACGATGGGGTCCTGATTCCGTTCTGTAGTGTAGATGGGGCCATGGAAACAGCGGGTCAACCAATCTCCTCCCTGCCACCAGCACAGCAGCTGCATCAGTATTTGAATGAAGCAGCCCTCTGGGAATTTACACCCGCAAGAGACAACAACGTCCTTTCTGTGGTATTTTCAGGCTACAGCGCTTTCCTCAATCCGCTGGGTTCCATGTTTCTCCAGACCTTGCTGGAGTTTCTGGAAGGAGATGAGCGGCATCTTGAACTTGCACGTCTAATGACCCGCATCAGCTGGAAAGTCGCGTTTCACTGCGAAGCCAAAGGGGAACACCAGGGGGAAAAGGAAATGCCCTGCTTTGTCACCAACATGGTGCGAGAGGTTTATCCATTCTCCATCCAAACCACGGAGAGCAGCAGCCTCTGAGAACTCAGATCTCGCTGGAGGGAGCCACCAGCTGCTTTCCAGCTCTTTCAGGAGTGCTGTGCATGGCCAGTGACTGCAAGAGACTCACAGAGCGCGTGAGGGCCGGCAGCATTTCTGTCCCGACAGATTACCGAGTCCACGGGACTAGGACTTTTGTGTTGTATGAGCAAATGAAAGGCCATGCACCTCTCCAGTGCGCTATGAATAATAAAACTAACACTGCACTGCTGTTATTTAGAATGTGTGCTAGAGACGGTTTGATTCTGGGCCAGCTTGTAGCTGCACAATCGTTAAAGTTGCAACAGCCCATTTACAACTACATTTTCCAACCTCTAAAATCCACATACACAATCAGAGCAGTTTGAAAATTGGTGGCCCAGTTCCAGGCCCAAAGTAGAGTAGGTGGAGTAAATTTGAGATTATTTGGTTAAGGAATTCCTGAGTTAGGGGCCACCCAGCTATTTTGAACTCTTTCAACTTTCTTTCCCTTTTTTTTTTTTTTTTTTTAGAGATGGCAAAAAAATCTATCGGCAGGATCCACCTGAAACTTCTCCTAGCTGAATGCCTCCTTTGAACTCTAGTATCTGATACTAAGAATGATAATAAGGGCTGCATAAGGTGCTGTGATGATCCCAGTAACTCTTGCCATTCGGGAGGGGGCAGACTTAAGGGTGGGAGGCAGCGGTGTGTGCGATGTGTCACCTTTGCTCTGCATTTCCCCATTTTCCAACAGGCATTTTGGGAAGTAAACTCCCATTCCAGAGGGGGTGGAGGAGCTCAGGGCTCAGCTGAGCGCCTGAACCTTAATGTTTTTGCGTGTGTGGGTCAAAGACTACAGCATGTGCTGATCGGTTGTATCTGTGCCAAAACCCAAGGGCCTCTGTGCAACTCCAGTGCTACCAGCTGGGTCTGGCTGAGCATATCTCAGAACCCCATCTGGCCCTCAGTGACTTACATTTCAGTTACCAGGGCCTCACACCAGTTCCTCATGAGTTTGGCTCTACACAGCTAAGTGAGCAAGCGGAACTTTTCTCCCTTATCTTTGAGTTGTTCTTCTCACGCTAGATGTGCTCCGCAGCCATAAATACGATTATAAAGTTTATGGGAATAAGGCTCCCTGTCCCAGGCTCTCTTTGGTTTTACGCCCTAAAGCTCCCAGAAAATTAAGCCGGCAGTTTGCAGCGGACGCGGCGATTCACAACCAAGTGTTTTTACTTGAATGTTCTGCTTCAGCTTTATTTTCCTCAGCTCAGCTGTGTGGTCAATACACAGATCAGCAGCATCCTCTGCTAGGCGAGCTGCCATCTGCTGTGACCCTGGAACACCTGATCAACTCTTTCTGAGCTTGGCTAATTACAGCCAAACTGGACCAAAGTGCAAATGGTTTTGTTTGCGTGGAAGATAAGCGAGTTGATAAGAGGGGAAGGAGCTCCTGTTTAAAGTGAGTTTGCTTCTCGTTTATTGCAGGAATCCAGCCGTTAGCTTGTGCAAACTGAAATCAAATAAAAAAGCAGGTGGCACTTTCACCCAAGCACACAGCACCCTCCATCTGATGTCTAGGAGGGTCTGAACGCTCAGTTTAGCAGGAAGGCCATGTTGGTACATACATCCCTCTTTAGGGTGCACACCCTAAGCCTGGTTTAGATGGCACATCTTAATGGAGCCGCCTAGGGGCTGCAAGGACCTGGCGGCCGCTCCCCAGGAGCCACAGTAAGCGCCGCCGGGACCCCGCATCCCGAACCTCCTCCTGCCCCTCAACCCCCTGCCCCAGCCTCCCTCCCGCCCCTCAACCCCCTGCCCCAGCCTCCCTCCCGGAGCTCGCACCCCCCTCAACCGCCTGCCCCAGCCCCCTCCTGCACCCTAACCCCCTACCCCAGCCCGGAGTCCCCTCCTGCAAACAAACTCCCTCCTGGAGCCCACACACCCCTCAACACCCTGCTCCAGCCCACTCCTGCACCCCAAACCCCTCATCCCTGGCCTCACCCCAGAGCCACCACCACCAGCACTATGGGAAAGATTTCTCCGCCAGATCAAAAATCGACATGGAAGGAGAGCACATTTCCACTACCATCAGTGTAGTATGCCATCCATCAAAGCCCCTTCATTGCCAAGTCCCGTCTTGGGTGGTTCTGTTGTACACTCTGTCGCAACTTAGAAGTAAATGTGTTTAAGGTAAACTCTGTCCAGCCCTGCTCTGCCCTAGCCGGGTTTACGTGCTGTTTCAATTCTAGTGCATTACTGAGTTTATGGTAAAACAACTGGGATTATTTGGTTAAGCAGCCCAAGAGGGTGAAAGACTGGAATGTGGGGGTTAGATCATGAGAATGTGTTGGACTGGGTTTTATTTTCAACTCAGCAGGTGGTTGGGATCAGCAAGACAATAGTGATTTTCCACAGTGCTAGGAGAATGCAATAAATTATACAACCCTAATAAAGAGTTCACAACCAACATCTGGTCTGTTACAGGCAGGAGGCAGATGGGGAATCCAACTGCCTTTACGGGGATCAGATCTAGCCTAGTATTCAGACAATACAATAACCCAACCTGCATTGCTCTTCTGAGGTTTTAACTGAGGCAGGCAGTAAATAGAAGGGTGAAATTACATTTCTTTATTGTGTCCATTTATTGACTTCACCACACAGAAAAGTACAAAGGGTTAGAAAATTCTGATTCTTCAAAGCGAGTCTCATTTTACCGCAGTAGAAACCAAACAACTCATGAAGTCAGCCTGGGAACGTAGCTGGCCTAGTAAAGTAATGACATTTGGTAAGAAATGTATCCAGCAGACTCTGTTAGTCTGAAGTTTGTGCCATCTCTGAACAGAGCAGAAACTATTCGTACCTTTCCCTGTTTGAGACTTGTAGAATATCTTACATAAAGTTTAATACCACAGAAATCAATGAAACATGGAGATCATTCCCAGAGATTTCGTACAATTCGAGAATTACAGCAACTGTCATTAGAAATAGTATGCACTCGAATTGAGAGGCTAGCAGGAGGGGACTACATTTGAATCCTTCACCAATAGCTTGGAAATGTACAGAGCTGCACCACATTTGAAGAGCACAGTAGCTGCAGAGATCCACGTTAAGAGCTGTCATATAAATACCAATTGTTCCTGGCCACATGTGGTGTCTTTACTACCCTGTGAAATTTGCACTTATTGTGTGCTATGCATTTCTGTTGAGCCAGCACACACGCCAGACACCTGGCAAACTGCTGCTAACTGGAAAATGCTCCTACACACAAGCTATGGACATTCTTGTTAGTCTGACAGAAGCGTAGGAACTATCCCTGTATCTTAGTTCTCTCTGCACATACTAGACTGTACTGCTAACAGTACATAGACAGGAGGGCCCTGGCTCTCACAGGGCTCCTCATTAGTCCATGCCTGCAGGAACATTTATGAGGTGGCGTTTCCAAAACAAAGCAGAGAGATTTTCAGATTAAAATAAAACAGTCAGTTGAAGAGGCTGAAGTAAGGAGGCCTCCAGATTCCGTGACAAAACAAACAGGTTTGGTACAAATCCTTCCAAAATGTTTTCTGATTCAAAGGGGGACAAAGCAGGTAAAAAATAAAAACAGGAATTCCCAGGAAAGCAGGCAGGTGTGGCTAAGAATTGCAACATTTATCATGTCTTCAAGTTTTTGCCTCTATCATAAAAACAAGTGAAATTGCAGCCTCAAATTCTGCACCCCTTAAATAAACGGGCCATAGAACACAGCATCACAGGCTTCCTGAAACATGTTATATGTTGTCTTTAAAATAAATAGCACAGTTATGTTGCACACAAGTTCCCTGCCTTTGAGGAGGTGCATTTCCTTCAGAGGTTACGTTCCAGGACCCTTTTTTCCTCCTGAGAGCAGGATGCTCCCGCCACCTCCCAAAAATGGCTCCTGTGAGGATCTCCCATATCAGAGTCCAGAAAAGTCATCTTTCTTAGGGGCAGCTTCCAAATAGATTTAAACAAATATATGATTCCTCCCCCTCCGCCCCCCGTCAAACCCACACACGCACACACACTTCAGCTAATGTCTTTCAGTAAAAGTAAGTTGCTTTGGTTTTCTTTTTTAAATAAGTTAAGCTCTGCATACACATCCCTCTCCCTCCTCTGTGGAAAACGAAACTCTGAAAATATCAGCCATGGCTTTAATGTCCAAATGTGGAGATTTCTTAGCCCAGATGCAGTCTTAAGTATCACTGCAGTCTAGTAGTGTTACTGCAGGTCACCGAATGCTGTAGACACCAAGGAGGAAGAGACCGGGGAAGGTTTGCCTCATCAACCATTTTTGGAACATGCTAAGAGAAGTAACCCAACTACTAAACAGCAATTTGCCCAAGATGGAGGAAAGGTTCTTCCCTGTGTCTCAATCAGCTGACAAGTGCATTGAAAATGAGGCTGTAGCTTTTCACATCCAGGCTTCGATATGTATTCTAAGTTTCCTCCTATGCAGTTGTGTGTCACAGCAATTTTTCTGTAAAACTCAGAACCGAGAAATAAAGAAAATAGCCACAGATAAAAGAACAAGCCAGCCAGCCACCATATACAGATTTCCCAAACATTCCTTGTCTCAACCATAAAGGCCTTGTGGAATATAACTATGAAAATAAAGACAGGAATACATAGTGGGCCTCATTCGATACTTTTTCCCGGCCTTATATCAGAAATATAAACAATATCAGTATGCACCAACCCTTGGTTTAAGCAGACAAGGAATCTAAGAGTTCCACAACACCACCGAGGTAACGGCTCTGCATGGTGTGGCTGGTTATAAGAACGTTCAACTAAATAAAAGCACAACTCAGAGCTGAGGAAGGCCAAGGTCAAAGGAAGAGGAGAGGGGACATCTTGTAGACGACGCTGCAGGAAGATATTCTGTTACACCGAACAAATCCCTTTCTGTATATTTTCAATCTGCCATCTACTTGGGAGGAAATATTTCTGCACTAGCCCAACAAGCCTCTCTCCTGGGCTCTGTGGGGGAGCTGCCGTGCATGACGGCATAACAGCACTCCCAGTTTGAGGAATGAATGACATAGGCCATAGCCCATATTGCACAGCTCTCCACATTGTGCAAATACAATGCCTTGTAAAGACATCTGTTTCACAGCTATCTGCGTAAGGGAGCCATACTGCTACTACGCGACTCAGGCATGAAATGCTGCCAACCTCTGTCCAATGCACCAAGTCACCAGCTATCCTTGCCCTATTTCCACTCTCAAATACTCTCTCCGCACTTTGACAAAGGATAAAGAAAATGGACCTCCCAGACGAAGTGGGAATTGACACTTGTAGGTTCAACTTATGCAAGTACAATTGATCTGACCTCTATCAGCAGGAGAGTCCATTCAGTACTGAAGAGAATAGGCTATGTTGGAAATTTAGGGGTTGAAGAACAGACCTGTGGGAAGGGGGTATGAACTACATGTGGTGACACTGTTTTCTTCCACCTGAACATTGCCATGTTCCTGTGACAGTTCTATGGGGGAGGTAGCAAGGTTTACAGAGGCAAAGTTCATTAAGACTTTGCCATGGAGGCTTGGCACAGAGCTTCATACACACTCCTTGCATTCTTTCACAGCATCCACTCTCTAAATATTTCATCATTGTTAGTGCAATCACCTGAACTCTGGGTATGACATCAGGAAAAACAGACCATCAGCAAGTCCGCTAGCGCATTTAAGGTGGACAAGCAAAATTCAAAGGGCCAGGGATTGCTGATTCCACCCACACTTCCAAAGATGTGCATTAAGAGACAATCAGATGTTAACTTCCACCATTGTCTTCATCACAGAGAACAAACAACTGATCAAATAAGAGTCCTTGGCAAAAACATTTCTGAACTAGTGCAAACAAACATGCTGTGAACTTTAGAGTCCAAATACAATGGACAGAAGGGGATAATGTTCATATGTCAGCTACAAGACCAACCATGCTGGTTATAAAGACTGCTCCACGAATCTAGACGAAGAGAATCAGAAGGCTCATTCAGCAGGCAGGTCTCTCCTAAACAGAGACCTGTGTGTCAATACAGCAGAAGGTAAAATCCATATAGTTTGGGCACAAAAAAATTCTGCCACTTGTTGGGTCTTCCCTGACATCACAGTATGGAAGCAAGAGACCAGAGCTGGACACTAGCTCATCATCAGGCAGCTGGGAAGGGGGGGAAATATTTAGAGACTGAGGAGTCAGTGTTACCAAAGTGCAGGTGCAAAACTAAAAGCACTTCTCTTCTTCCCACACTCCAAGACCTGGAGGGATTCAGAGCTGTTCTGCTGGGAATCACAGGGCTTCCTTGTATCTTCATTTTCAGCAGTCCTTACCCAAGTCAGCAGCATGGAGGAATTTCTGGGGATAATTTAGATCTGAAGACAAAAAGGAGAGAGTTTTCAATCGTTTGTCAGAGCAGCTTTTCCGCACACACTATTCTGAAAAGTTACGTAAAAATGGCACCATGGGGGGCTCTGGATTTCTCCGCTCTCTGATTCAGTTTCAAATAAAGAGATGGCTTTTCTAACTGGCAGCCCAGCAGATTCAACCTGAGTGATTTCCTTCCTGCGCATCCTCACCAGTAATAAAGATTCAACAAGCCAAATTACACCCTCGTGATGTGTGCAGCACTGAGGCACTCAATGGGCTTACACCAGTGTAAATGATTGGAACCTAGTAAGGAATTTATTAGTGTGACAGATATGACAATATCCTGGACAATCTTAAGGAATTAAGTTCAACCTTATTGAATTAAGTATTTTAGGAGTTCATTGTGTTAAAAATGCAATTGTTCATGTGTTACTGTGAAACTGTATGTAACTTCTCTAAGAAATGTGCTTGATGAAATCCCTGGGAAATATTAGGAACTTCAAAGGACCTTTTGGGACAATACATTTGAAGTGGATTTGCTAGGAAATACTCTTCATAGGCCAACTGAGTGACTCACTGAGTGCTTGTTCTGAGCTGAAGCTATGCTGAACTGGTGACCACAAGAAAAACCTGTGTTGGGTCTGAATAGGGTGACCAGATAGCAAATGTGAAAAAACAGGAGGGGGTTGGGGGGTAATAGGTGCCTATATAAGAAAAAGCCCTTAATACCAGGACTGTCCCTATAAAATTGGGACATCTGGTCACCCTAGATCTGAAAGACTAATCACCAACCAAAAGAAGAAGGGGGTGATCTCTGGTAGGCTTATTAGCATGCGTGCAGGTTCCTTTATTGTTTGTAATGTTTTCTCTGTCATGCTTTTACCTTAAGAATAAAATGTGCTTGCTTAGAAAGAGCTGAGTGGTAACTTATACCTTTGGCAATTACACCGTGTACCGTCTCTGAAGAGAAGGCACAAAAAGCCTGCACAGACAGCCTGTCTTTTGCTGGGATTTCACAGTCCAGCCAGGGGTCTGTGCAGCCTGAAAACATCCCAGTCAGAAGGGAGACAGACGTGTGTCTCCACCCACGACAGCCAATTGCTGGAGAGCCAGAAGCCTGAGAGGAGGAGCTCTTGCTGGACAAGCGAAGGGAAATACAGGTGCGGTTGCTCTGACGTGTGACAATTGGTGCTGCACAATAAGGAAGAGACGCCAGCTGATTCTCAAAACTGCGTTTGCACCGCAGAGCTAACCAGGAGCATCGAACAATACCACTTATTTGTGGTACTAAAGGCAACTGGCCTGGCTGCTAGGTGAGGGAACAGACCCGCTGGGTGAAGTGACATTTTTCACTGGACTACTGTCCTTTCAAGTGTGCTTCATGCACTTTTTATGCCAGTGACACTTTTCATATTCAGGAGGCGATCGGAATATTGCAGGTTTTGAATTGGGGAAAGTTTGGGTGTTTTTTTTAACCTTTGTCTTCCTTGCACCCCCACACTGGACCTACCTCTTGTCTGCAGCCCCAGGGACAAAGATCTGAGCGCTGTTTGCCAGGGAGTGGCGGCTGGCAGCTATGAAAACTGGGATTGGAGCTGAATCAAATCTGCCACCTGCTGCTTCCAATTCCAGGAAGGGAGCCAGGCCTCGGCTTGCCAGGAAGCTGCTGAGGGGAAGGGAAATTGCTGGGGAGAGTGAACCAGCAAGAAAGGGGAAGCCGTTTGAAGAGAGAGGAGTGAAGGAGCAGGGCCCCTTTGAGTGAAGTCTCCAGCTTGCCGCCTTCCTCCTGCAGCTCCCCCATCAACCTTCCTGCTGAGACTCGGAGTATTCTGGTGGGGGCTAGAGATGGGATTACTAGGTACAAAGTTCATACAGGGCATTGTTTATGAACTCACCGGTTGCCAACCAGGGTTTTCCCCAGCAGCTGCTGGCCTGAGCCAGAGGCAGGGAGGCATGAGTAGAGGAAAATGAGGGGGGGCAAGAGTCCAAGAGGGGCATGATGGGGGAAGGGGATTTGGAGCTGTACTTCCAGGCCTCAGATTAGGGATACTCTGGGACAGGCAGAAGGGGACTGTAGAGTGATGCAGCATAGATGGGAATGGGACAAAAGACATAGGCCGACACATGCACCAGAGGCTTGGGAGGACACATGGGGACAAAGGATACCAGTGAAAAAAAGACACACATATGGAACAAGGGCATGGGAAAAGGAGAGTGCATGATACAGAGGGACATGGGGAGAAGCAGAGAACAAGTGAAGTGGAAGTGGAGACCAAGAGACAATATAAGACTGAAGTACAAGCTGCATAGCAGCAAAGAGAACACATCAGTCTATGATAATAAAGAATGCAGTAAAGAAGCTAGAATAAACAGTTTCTGTATAATTAAGATTTTCAACTTATAACAGTGCTTTTCTTCCTTGTTTTTTATAGCAAATGAATAACTGAAACTGACCGATCTTGCCAGAGCACTTTCAATTGCAAGAGCTGCTAAGCCATTAATTCGAGACTGAACTATAGCTGCATGTTGGTACTTCCTCATATGTTTGAGCACACTTCCTGCACTGGCCACAGAGGCTGGTATGAAGCAAAATATACAAAGTGCAACCATCAAGTTGGGGAAAAGGTTCTGCAGAGACTTCATGCAACTTATTTAATAAACCAAGTGGTGACAGTATTTGGGCCAATGTTTTCCTTATAAATGCATTTGAGAAACATTAATTCCTCTTTTATATCACCAGAGGTAGAAGTAGAATAAACAGTCAGAAAGTCATTGAGAGCAACTTCAACCTTTTCAAGAAAGGTCCATAGAAATTCAATTTTTTGACAGATTCAGGTGAGTGCAGCAAACCACTTTGAGGCCACCTATGACAGAGTCTACAATGCAAAAGAAAACACTGTCTCAAGGATAGTCCTTTCCAAGCTTGTCTTGATCACCTGAGTCATCACCTCTGTTTTTGGATGGGTGTGTTTCCCCTGGAGGATCGATGCCAAGGTTAGCTGCAACACGCACACAGTCAACATAAATTTTGTTTCATTTTTCTCATAATTGTGCCAATTCAGTGAGATGCCCTCGATGTTATCTTTCAACATCAAGTGTAGCATCTCGGTGCTGAAGAAGCAGGTTCCATTCATTGATGGGGCGTAGAATTTTCAGCCAAACTGAGGCAAGTAGAACACATTTAAATTTTGACATGTATTTTACTAGTCCAGCAATATCACTTGGGGTTTTGGCAGCCAGGCTCAATTCAGAGAATTCGTTCAATGCTGCCTTAAGTCTTTCAGGTTCTTGGCACACATGCAGCCCACTGTGTACCAGACATTGAATGGAGTGAATCAAACATTTTTCTTCAAAATTTCACATCGCTGTGGACTTGCACGGAATATTGTAGAATGACTGAAGACATCCAAAGAACATAATACAATAATGACTCCACTGAACCAGCACCTACCAAGTTCAGCTTATGCCAGTGGGTCTCAACTTTCCAGACTACTGTAACTCCTTCAGGAGTCTGAGTTGTCTTCTTGTAGCTTTAAGTTTCTCTTCACTTAAAAACTACTTGCTTACTGCTCACTATTACTGAAAAATTACTGACTTTCTCATTTTGTCTATTAAATTTTAGTTTGTACTGACTTCACTGGTGCTTTTATGTAGCCTGTTGTAAAACTAGGCAAATATCTAGATGAGTTGATGTACCCCCTGGAAGACCTCTGAGTACCCCTGGTTGACAACCACTGGCCTATACGATGCACATTGGGGGGAAAAATGCCTGAGGAGTCTGTTGAAGCACTGCCTAAGCTCAGGAGTATTTCCTGCTATATTAGCACCATTATCAAAAGCTTGTCCACAACAGACCTGGAAATCTAATCTATGTTTGACTACAGTGTCATGAATCATTTCTGCTATTTCCTCACCAGTCTTCTTGGTAAAATCTGAAGCACAAAAAACATTCCTGAATCACAAAGTTACCAACAGGTATTTGATTAACATATCTGATCAACAGTGTTGTTTGTTCCTCATGTGAGGTGTCTGGAGTTACACTGGAAATTACGGAAAAGTACTTGACCTCTTTAACCTTACCCTAGGGTTGTTTTCAAGACTTGTCCTGTGCATTCTTGAATATATTCCTTTTGGGTCTCAGGTGGTAAGTAGGATACTTGAACTCTCTGATGTTGCGCCTGTACCTTCTTCACATGGACCAAAAACTGGTCATACTTGGCTAACAACTCACTAATACCCAAGAAATTGCCATTGGATTTATCACCAAGCTTGCAACTTGTGCCACAGAAAGCTAATCCTTATTCTCCAAGAACAACACAACATCTAAAATACGTTTCAGAATGTCCTTCCACTTTTCTTTTTTATTTCCAAAATTTGTCTCCAATAACGAGTGGATGGTTTTATCACCTTTCAATCTTCTTCTTGTGTCCATCCATTTCACATAGCTTGTTCTGCATGACGCTGTTTTTTCATGGTCAGGGATTCACTTATACAGCTGGTGCCAGCTGCGATCTGCAGTCTACCCAGTTAGCATGGCTAAGCCTGGAAGAACACCCTTGAGTTGTTGCATCCAGGGGAACAGTAGACATGGAAAGCAACGAACAGCATGCTGTGTCACTGCTATCCAGTCATGTCTCACTTATTCTCCATTAGGAAGGGTGCAGGAGAGAAGTATATCGGGAAACTGTTTTCCTTTGGTATCCCTTTCTGGATGGATTTTTAATCTTCCAGTTATGAAGCACAAGTCTATCTATGCCATCCTGTTTTACAAGCCCTGCACTTGAACGAATGTTTTCAACAGAAAAATGAGATGGCTCATGTTCATCCTCCTCCTCCACTTCATCTAGGCCAGGACCTGGAGGATTATAGTCTCTCTCTCCTTCCCCACTCCCTGGTTTCCATCCAAACATTCTAAAGTTCTTCCCGCTGCTTCTTGTTCTGCAGTTTTTCTCTGCTTTTCCTTTTTTCTGCACCTGACTCATTATACACACTTCATATTTGACTATACGAGGGTAAGCGAAGTTCAGTGCAGTGCTAAATTTCCCCAGATTTAGGGCAGTGGTTCCCAAAAGCAGAGTGCTCTCTCTCTCTCTCGCCTCTCCTCCCCTCCCCTCTTCTAACAGGAGGGGAGGGGGACAGAGGGAGCAGAATGAACTCAGGTGCTTAGGGAAGCTCCATTCCTTCCTCCCTACTCCCCTTCTGTGGACGGGGACGGCTCTTCTGCTTCTTCCCACTCCCTGCAGCATATGGCCAGGGAAGGGGGAGGGAGGTAGAAAGCCCTCGGAGCTGCCCCCACAGCTTGCAAGGGGGAGAGGGAACTGAAGACCCCCTCCCCAGCCTGGGAGGAGGTGAAGAACCTGAGGATCAGAAGTGAGGCTGGGGGGCAAAACTGAGGGGACGCTGAATTGATGAGGACGTACTAAACAGGTTTCAGTGCATTTCCATCTGCTGGAAAAGGTTATGACAATGGCTTCACAGCAAGACTTAGCAGCTCCTGCCTGCTGATCCCCGTCAGCCTCCAGGATTCTGTGGGCCAGATCCATAGTTGCTGTAGACTGCTGATTTACATCAGCTGAGAAATCAGGCTCTTTGCCGTGGGGACCACAAGCCCGACCATCAGCACAGATACTTCCCTTTTCAGGGACAGCATGTTGAAAACAAAAGAGAATTTAAATGGGCAGAACAAAGACTCATCAGACTAAGGGCAGGGCCATTACTAAAAAACATCTCACCAAAGCTGGCTTCCCATCAGCTTCATGACTGGCCCTGGCTTGGTGGAGTCCAGCTGCTGCACATGCTTCTCAGCTGGCGCAGCACAAAGCAACAGTAGGCAGTGCTGCACCCACTCCCCAATCTTCCTGGCTACTGGCAAAGGACAGCTGAGCTCATTTTCAAGCCCTGCCTATCTGATGGGCTGCTATATCAAGACCCGATTCACTCTTACCTTTTGATCCAGTCTCTGATATTCATTGGATTTGGGCCGCCGGGGTAGTTTTGATCGTTTTCCTTCCAGAGCAAAAGCAATGATCTTTGGAGACAGAAAGAGGAGAAGAAATAAATCAGCAAGCAAATCCTGAGAGGTTACCACATTTTGTGGTGGTTGAAAAGAGCTGATTCAGAACTACAGGCATTATAAGTATTCTCTTTTTCCACTTCAGGGACAGATAGTTCTGCTCGTGTGTTCCACTCTCATAGCAATGAAACATCTCACCTGACCAAAGCCTATTTTCCCCAGGATTGGCAGCTCCTAGATTTCCAAATTCAGGACTGCCTAACCCACACCAGAGGTTTCATCACTCTCCAAAGAGCCTCCCCCACATTCTTTATCTGGGTATGACGACACCATACACAATGACTCAGCAGGAGCCCCAGTGTTGCCAATTCTCAGGAGTCTTATGATATGTTTTTCTTTAAGCCCTCATGCCTTGTAGAGTCATATTACATGAAAATCACAGCTTTGATTTTAAATGAAAGAGTAATTTTCTAGCCATGATTGTGGTGAAAAGCTTGAAAACGTGAACCTAAAGGTTCCCACATATCAGAAAGCAAATAAGAACCCAAGATTTATTTTTTAAAATGACGACTTGAAAGTCAATCTAGTTATTTTTGAACAATTGAGGCTGACAATAATGCATCTTCTATGAGGACCAACTTCATCTATTAACCAACGGAGTTCACAGAACACTGCCAGCCTATTACATTAAGAGATATGGCCAGTACCGCGCTGCCATATAATTCCTCTTTATTCACTACTGCCCCGCTCAGCTTACACTGCTTCCCAATGTGATTACAGAAACATGCAAAAAGGTGAACACAAGTCACACAGGCATGAGTGAAATACTGTAACATGTCTGGTGTCTCCTTGCTTTGAGTCAAACAGAAACTGAAAACAATCACACAGCACAGGTTCTAGTGGCCTTCTGAACCAGGCCAGGAGCGTCAAGTTGGATACAGAACACTGCAGTCTGCCCTGATGGATCAATATCTCCAGTCCACACTGGAAGAGCCCCTTTCCTTACCACATTTCTCCTAGCAGGTGCTCCCTGAACCAGATTCCTCAATTTAAGGTTACTGCTTTCTGCACAGACAATAAGGAAATGCAAATAGGATTTTCTTACTAGGATTAAAGCTTTTAAAAGCCTGGGTCATATGCACATAGGAGAGAGGCTGCACTGTGTGCATTAAGGTGCTGCTGGCACGATAACACTCAGGAAGGTCTACTAGGCTACCTCAGTAAAGAATGATCTTCAGCTAGTCTAGGCCATGTCTTTGTGCCAGCCTGAAGCAACCCTAACACATTATGAGCACTATGCATTAAACAACAGTCCAGCCTCCTTTCTGGCCACTTCTAAGCATCTAAAGGAATTTAGACTGAAGAGAAAAGGAGCAGTCAACAGGAAAAAGCATCTTAACTGCTACTCCTCTCATTCCTTGCCACCCCAGGTCCACACCTGGAGATGACCACCAGGACTAAGACCACATGGTTTTCACAAAGACTTAAGACCCTCCCCTGGGTTGCTCATCCCAACAGGACTTGAGGGGTGGACAAAACCCCAAGTTAGTGTTTTTTGACCTACTGAATTTATCAGCAAATTAAGAGTCTAAACAACAGAAAAGCCAAAGATAGGTCAGTGTATTGAAAAGTTTTCTTCCGCCCCATCCAGAAGCACCAACCCACACACGGGAAAAGGAAGAACCTGAGTAACAAAACACTTTGGAAACTTTGATATTTAGAATCAAAAATTCAAAATTCTTCCTGGCAGTAAGAGAAGGAAGCACTAATTTCCTGCTTGTGACACTAACTTCCAGGAAATGCTCTCTCCATCCACTAGCACTGATAGAGCCCTGAAGCAGACAGGGCCTACACCACATCCAGAAAAGCTCACCTTCCGCTTATTGTGATAAGCGATGTACAAGGCAGCGACGATAATGGCTGCGGTTACCAGGTAGGCAAAGAAGTGGCTACTCTCTGATTCATCTTTGGGGGGAGCAGCAGGGGCACTCTCCTCTTTCCCCTCACCAGGCTGAGCAGCTTCATCCATCTTCTCGTCGGGGAGCACATTTTCATCAAGAGCCTCATCACTAGTGCCACCGCCATCTGCCTTCCCCTTAGCACCCTGGTCCTCAGGTGCATTCTTCTCGTCAACTGCCTTCTTCCCTTGGTCCTCGGGTGCATTCTTCTCGTCAGGCGCCTTCTTCCCTTGGTCCTCGGGTGCATTCTTCTCGTCAGGCACCTTC